CTCTTCAATCAGAAATAAAATTTATGGGTGATGATATTAAACATACTTACCCGTCGGGTTTTAGAACATGTGTTAATCGCGAGGTTGAATTCTATCATACAATTTTGTCTATTGATCATACAGATATTCAGATTAATGAAACAGTCTATGACTATTTTATTAAATCATTTAACAATGCATATGATAACCCTAAAAACTTTCTTTACACAATATCTTTTAGAACTGCCGAAAAGTATCTCAGAATGTACTTTAAAGATATAAAAATCATTGATTCAAACGTTTCAATGTCTAAAATAAGTTCTGAAATAGCATCTTTAATAGTAAAAACATTTAACACAACACTTCTTAACTATATTAAACTTGTCTTTAGTGCCTGTAAAAACTCGACATATTCAGATGTAGAAACACCTCCCCAAGTTAAAGTTCGCACACAAACTGGTTCGGCATTTACAGAAGTTTATATTGACTACGATGCAAAATACGTTAAAAACAAACTTAGCAGATTGTTAGCTCCCGGAAATATCACTCAAGATCAATTTAATTATGGCGATCCAATAACACTAAGAGCAAAACATTATGCATCTTCAAATATTAAGTTAAGGTCATTTATGGGATATTCATATGAATTTGATATTAACATGTCTGACCCATTAAGCTATGTCAAACCTGTATATTCTTTTGTTAACACATCAAAATTTGCTGGAAGAATTAGGGATTTAATATCGTCTGTTAAGTTTAGGGATGTTTTAACAGACCAGATTGATTTACAAGCTAAAAAAATCGAAAAAGACATTGAAACTCTTTTTAAAACAAGTAAATCTGTTGTAAATGGAATGAATTACATATATTGGAGAGATCTTAATTTGTACATGAAAAATATGTTTGACTACATAAACATTGATCAAAAAATACCTCAGTCGTCAAAACTTAATTACTATTCTAACACTGCTGTTTTAAATCATCTTCCTGCTATGTTAACACACTATTACGGTCAACATATGCAATATATTGTTGTAACAAACTGCAAAAAACAAATCACAGTTCCTAATCAGTCTAACAATAAAAACATGTTTAGAAACATCGAGTATGAAATTTTTCTAATCGAAATAGAGAATATTGTTAACCAGTACAAATATGATTGGGAACCAGTAAATACTGATGAAAATTGGCATCTAAGATATCTTGGGACAGATGTTAGATTTGACCCAAAATATCCAATCCATTCAAATATAGATCAGATTCATAATATCAAACTAGTATCGAGTTATGTTGATAATTACATGAATATAAATGACATCATATTTATTAAACCTGGTTCATTTATACCAAATGGGTTATGTCCTTTGTGTTTTAGAACCATTGCATTTAGACAACGGCTATTGTTTATTCTTCCAAGAACTGTATTTAGTCCAAATATGATAAACGATGAGTTTAAAATTGTTGATGACGAACACATAATGTCATTGTCACCGGGTTCTGGAAAGTCAGATTCAACATTAATAAAATCAACTAATGAATTACAGTTTTCTACTACACCGTCACAATATTCAATGTTTCTTTACAGACCAGGTGAAGTAGTTTAAGACCATGTATCTAAAACATATTTACATACAAGTTTGTTATCCACCGAATCGCTGCTATTATGTTCAGATACAGAAATATGATAATAGACATCCTGACTTTAACCGACACTAATTTTGAGTCGTGGATTACTGCACATATTCCAACATCACTACAGATTGGACTAGCAAATATTTACAATAATACAACAGAATCTGACAGATACACCAATTTTGTGAAGTATTTGCGCGAACTAAGAGATCCTTCAAAAAGACAGATTTTTTACAATCAAATGGATACATGGATATCAATACTAACACACGCTGATGACAACTTAGTGAACTTTCTCAAAATTAAAAGCATCAATGATCCACCCGAGTCAGTTCAATTATATAGTTTAGTAAATTATTCAAGCTATACAGAGGCAATTAGTTATATTGGATACAAAAATAACATTTAAGACGACACTAACACCTTTGAAATGGTTCCAAATGTTTTCTATGAAAAACAAACTTTCGAGATATCTGGTGTTAACATTGTTCGATTTCAAACTAATAGAGATAACATATCTTTGTGGTGTCTTTTACATCGTGAGATTGTTCAATGTCAAGAAATACATTTCTTAATAGTGTAATAGATCCAAGAGAGATAATAACACTAAGTGATTTACCACTACAATTAATTACTAATACAAAAAATCATGCTAAACACATTCAATCAAGAAATCTGTGCCCTGATATCTACAATGAAATTTATGAAATATATAGATCAAGTATGCCGACTAGATACATAAACAAAAATGGCGAAATTGATTTTTATAGAAGTAAAGAAACAAAGGAATACGACATTCCATCAACATCGGTTGCGATTAATGAATTCAATGATTCAATCAGTACAAATATGATAAATTACTGCCGTCAACTTATGATCTACTACAATATGCTTCTTATAAGATATCAAAAACTAAAATTTTTGTTGAAAATTAAAAACATGTCACTTAATAGTAATGCATATTATTTTAACTTTTCGCAAAATATTGCTGAGGGGTACTTTGAAAATGTTCGAGAAGATATTAATAATATGAAAATGATCGATATCAATCCACAAAATAACAAATCAATATGTGAAACATTTTATTATCCAGATACGTCTAGATACTACTTTATTAACACGCATACATTTAAAAACAAGGAAAATAATCTTGCCACAACTGAAATAAATAACGACTATTTTGTGTTTTTAAAAGACAATAACTTTCATTTACGCCAGGCGTTTACTTTAAACCAATTGATGAATATGATGATTATGTTAGGTATTCATGATACACGAGGGTATATTTATGACGATTACAATAAACTAAAACCCCGAATTACACAAGAATCTGCAAATGAATATTATTCAGAAAAACCTTACGGTATCTCACTTTAATTCAACAATTTATATGTATCTGTAGATCAAAATACTCAATCGTTTAACAATTATGATATTTACATTTTTGAAAATGCAGTTAATTACAACAATGACACTGGGTATGATTATGACAGAAAAATTAAAAAGGTTGCTAATAGCGGTTTGTTTAACAGCGTTTGGTATAATTTTCCAATAATATCTAACATACTTTATGATCAGTACTATACACCTGTTATTCTTAATTCACAACAAAATGTTGACACAACTATTGACTACTTTAATTTTGAAACTGTACAAAAACGTACTAATACAAAGTGTTTAGTAACATCACCGTTAATTTATATAAAAAATAAAATAAATCATTCACTGTTAAACAAACATAATCATACTAAGAATCTTGCAGTATGGGAAAATAATTTTCACAATAAATATACAACAGACATTGCATTTTATGGGAATGAATTTTTTATTGGATAACTAATGCCAACGCCAGAAGATATTGTTAGTCAAATGAAAAAAAAAAAATGAAATTACTGCATTTCGCGGACTTTTCGAAGCTTATACCTATTTTACAGGAAGTTATGGATACACTAATACTACATCGTTTTTTAGAGGCATTTTAAATGAGTTTAAATTCGGAAACGGGTCGTTTCGCACTATAACAAAAAATATGCGTGAAAATTTCGTTGATCTGTTAAATAAAACAAAATCTGCATTTGATCTTACTAATTCACAAATGCGTTCTGGACATCTTATTTTAGTTATCACAGTTAAATACTCAAAAATACAGAGCGCAATTCAATCACTTATATTTAAACATCGAGATAGTTTAGGTAAACTAAGTTCAGAACTTGCAGGTATTCAAAACTCTCTTTTAGATGTTTTATTAATATCATATTCTTCGACATCGCTAAATGTTACTGATGTTAATACGACATTTTCAAAACTTCGAGCATTGTTTGAAAAAAGTATAAAACAAACGACATTAATTTATCACAATGTATTACAGAAGTTAAACAAAAAATACTTCAAATAAACACTATTACAAATCTTGAAACAAAGCTATTGATGAAATAATTAAGTTTGTTCCAATATTTGAAAATGAGTTTTATGACATAATAAACAGTGTAACGAATAGTATACAGTCAGCAGGTGCACTATTTATTAAAACTAATATTGACACTCGGACATATACACCATCAGTATTGTTTGCATCTGCAAATCTTAATCTCCTACATAATTTTGGAACTTATAAAGATGTAATTAACATGATACTACTTGACATCATAAAGTTTATTACACCATCTGACATATCAATACAGGAGTTTCTAACCTACATGTCGGGCAAAGAAAATTTCTATAATTTAACAGGTGCTCAAGTAACAGCAAAGTCTGTTGATAATGTGTTTGTGTCTTTATTTGAACATTTATTTGAGACAACTAATTTATGAAGCAACTAAATTATGAAACATTTATTTGAGACAACCAAATTATGAAACAAATATTAGGAAAACTGATTTATGAGACAGTTATTTGGAGCAAATAAAATATGAGACAACTATTTTGTGAAACATGTATTTGAAACAACAAAAAATATGAGACAATTATTTAAGACAACTAAATTATGAAACAAATATTGGAAGAACTAAATTATGAAACAAATATTGGGAGAACAAAAATGTAGAACAAATATTGGGAGAACAAAAATGTGGGACAATTATTGGAAGAACAAAATTATGAAACAAATACCGAGAGAACAAAATTATGAGAGAAAAATTTGAAGCAACTAATTTATGAAACATGTATTTGGGACAACTAAATTATGGGACATGTATTTGGAACAACTAAATTATGAAACATTTATTGAGAGAAGCTAAAATGTGAAACATGTATTTGAAACAACTAAATTATGAAACGTTTATTAAGAGCAACTAAAATATGAAAACAAAATTATGATACATTTATTAGGAGAACAAAATTGTGAAGCATTTATTTGAGGCAACTAGATTATGGGACAATTAATGAGATATGAAATCCAGATTTCTCTTTCTTATAATTTTTTTTTGAAAGAACAGTCGAACTAAGTTTTGCATTAAAAACTGTACCAAATGCTCCTTCTCCAATTTTTTTATCCTTAATAATATCTTCTGGAAATATTTCCCATTCATCTGGTGATATTTCATTACATCCAATGTATTGACTAAAAATAAAAAAGTCATAGATAAATACTACATTAAGAAAAAAAAAATATATATATATATACACATATATATATATATATATATATATATATATATATATATATATATATATATATATATATATATATACACATATATATATATATATATATATATATATATATATATATATATATATATATGTATATATATATATATATATATAATATACACATATATATATATATATATATATATATATATATATATATATATATATATACACATATATATATATATATATATATATATATATATATATATATATATATATATATATATATATATATATGTATATACATATATACATATATATATATATATATATATATATATATATATATATATATATATATATATATATATATATATATATATATATATATATATATATATATATATATATATATATATATATATATATATATATATATATATATATATATATATATATATATAACGGCCGGAAGAGACATGATCCACCCAAAATTTTGCTAATTATTGTTGGTGTTTTTGAATAAAAAATGTATAAAATAACAGAAACTTTTTTATAAACTTTTGGAAAAATACGCAAAAGTAATATTACTGTATTATTTTGTTTTATGCAAGTAAAACAATTAGTCAGGGTTATCCAAAACTATCCAAGTAAAACAATTAATTGTTTTATGTCATTAAAAAAAGTTGTTGGTTAAAAAAAGTCATACTTGTTGGTTAAAAAAAATTATACTTGTTGGTTAAAAAAAATCATAAAAAAAACGTACTTGGTTCGTCTGTGGCGGTCAGTTATTTTAATTAACTATAATATTGTTTCTTAAACTGATTAAATTATTTATTCGTATTGTAATGGTTTGTAAAAAGTATATTAATACAAATAGTGTAATAAATTAAATAAATTAAATTATCATTTAATAATTGCATATAAGTATTATTAAAATTTGTTGAATACGATATAGCGAAAACAAAATACTTACGATATAGCAAAAACAAAAATATAAAATTTTTATAATGAAATATTTGAATCAAGAGAAGTACCGCTTATCAACCGGCCTACTCGAATAACAGAAAACTCAACCACCCTTATAGACGATATTTTAACAACAAATATATATGACAATGACATTCAAATAGGCATTATAAAATGAGAAATATAAGATTATTTCCCCATTTTTTTAACAATTAACACAATTTCAACTCCTAACATTAATAAAAGTCAAACTATAAGAAAACGTATTTTCAACAAAAAAAATTTGGAAGCATTTAAATATCAATTGTTATTGTTAATATGGAAGCATTTAAATTTTAATGAAGACATAAATGTAATCTATAATAAGTATTTTAATACATTCTTCTCAGTGTACGTTGCGAATTTACCCGTTTCCGAAATAACCTTAAAACCAAAAACCTTAAGTAGTCCTTGGATTACCAAGGGTCCTAAAAAATCTTCAAAAATTGAACAAAAATTGTATATAAAATATTTAAAAACAAAATCTCATGCTAATTTACGCATCTATAAAAACTACAAAACTCTATTTGAAAAAATTCGTAAAAACCTAAAAAAAAATTATTACTCTTAACTAATCACTTAATGTAAAAATGACTCGAAACAAATATTGAAAATATTGAAAGAAATAAAGGGAAAACAGAAAACCTGTTCAAATTTCCTTCCAAAAATGATTAAGATAAACAATGTATGTGTATATGAACAAAACAAAATAGCCAAAGAATTTAATAAATACTTTACTGATATCGGAAGTAGAAAGGCTAATAGGATTCCATCTACTAATATTTCCTTTAATGATTTTTTGACAATTTCAAATAGTTTACTTTCTTCCCATGACTTTTTCCTAGATTTATCAATTGAAAAGTTTGAAAGAGCCTTAATATATATTGTATTACATTATATTTATTCAAGTGAGATTCGAATCCAAAGGATAAAATTATTTGAAGCCATTTTGGTATTTAATAAATATTTTATTTAAAATTTATTTTAAAAATGAACGCATAACATTATATGCAGTAAACTATATCATAAAAACATATCTCTTACGCACCCATGATCTAAACAAGATAAGCTTTGGTTCATTAGTTTCTTACTAGTCAAAAATCCAAACAACTAGAATAAGAAAATTGCACATTTTTTCAAGTGGAAACTATATGCTCCATATACGTCTAGTGAAGCATAAATACGTGAATTACCTAAAAAGTCTCCTCGTACAAACCCCTCTAGTGAAATGACTCAAATATCTGAAAAGTCTTCTTTTTTAAAGTGGTTTAACAACTAAAAACTATGCATACCAAAAATCAACTTTTTTATTCGTTCAAACACTATATTTTCCCCAAAATAAAAATTAGAGGTCGAAATCGTTCTTGCCAGCAAAAATATTTTTTTATAAAAGGTAAGATGGATACAATTATGACTACTCAGACAAGTTAAAAGAATCCAAGTTAATTTAAAATTGCTAGTTTTATGGTTTTTACCTTAATTCTTTGTTAAATTTTATTTTAAACTGACAGTGTCTTCTGCTGCTAAACATTTAAATTAATCTAAACATTTACTATAAAAAACCTTAAGTAGGTTTTTTATCACATTTTAGCAATACTTGAAGAAATTTTTGCATATATATATATATATATATATATATATATATATATATATATATATATATATATATATATATATATATATATATATATATATATATATGTATGTATACAAAGTTTATTATACTTACTCCATAGTAAAAGGATTTAGATTCAAAGGTGTTTCGTATTTTTTTTTGCGAAACTTTAACACAGCAGTAGCAAAAACAACTGCAACAAGAACAGTTAAAACAGGAACTAATATCGCTACAGAGATTACTGATACTCTGTCTAAAGTTAAAAAAAAAATCAGAACTTTAAAGTTTCTACAAAATTATTTATGAAAAACAAAATGATAAATACTATTTAATTTCTAAAATGTCACACAAAAACAAAATTCAAAGTATACTTACTATTAGAAGGATATGACGTTGAAGTTGAAACTAAACAAATAAAAATGTAAAAAATTATAGTTATGGAAAAGATGAACGCTTTAAATTAATAAACTTAATAATAAATTTGGTAACATCTATTTTTTACCAAAAAACATTAACTATATAGATTCAAAATCTGAATGCGCCTTAGCCTTTTGTAACTCTTCTGTAGTTGTGTAAAGGTTTAAAAAGCAGTAATTAAACTTATCCACAAATGCAACATATGCGTAAAATTAAATAAACTTTTGATTTACAATAAAAAAAGTTCATATATTTCAATACTATGCAAAAACGATGCAATAACACGATTGAACATAAACATTAACAAATGAAACTATATTAATTGATAACCAAGCTAATCCAGCTAAAAGGCTGCATTTTCATTGCTCTATTGTTTTGACTAAAATGTGAATTTAGATCAAATCTAGGTTCTCCGGTCTCGTAACTATTATAAATAATGAAATGCACTTGTATTTAATATTTATAAATATTTTACGGAAACTATCTTTAATTGTAAATGGTCGCTTGACAAAAATTGTCAAGCGACCATTTACAATTAAAAAATGTACATGTTTTTAATTGTACGATCATTTAAAAAAAAAAATGTACATGTTTGCAGCTTTGTTCGCAGTAACAAACAAAGTTGTTATGCAAATATGGTATAAAAAATAAAATTTTTATGTCTTTTTCCAATTTTAGAGCATGACTATTATTCTTTGATTTGCTAAACTTTAAAATATTTTGCTAAGCTAAGCATATATTCATGGTTTTAGATGAATGTTATGTTTTGAATCACTAAACAATTCTTTTATTTGCTTTCGCTTAGCATTAATCTACTAAGAGAGTACGTAAGCGAAGAACAAGTAAACAAAAGAAATAGGGTATAATAATAATAACAATAATAATAATAATAATAAGTATATGTATATTACGTTTTGTTACATATTGTGAACGATTTGCGACATAATGTGAACGTTTTGTTTCATCCGATATCGATAGGAACGTTTTGTTACAAAATCGGAACGTTTTGTTACATGGACATGTTACAAAACGTTCCTACAGTTGAAAGTAGGAACTATTTGATACATCGATTTATAATCTCGGTTACCGTGACATACGATAGTTCACCGTGATCAATCCACCATATTTAAATTTAGAAATCGAACGCTGAAAAACGTTAAAAATGCAAATCATTTAATTTTGTAAATAATTTATTAGCCCTTATCTTAAAACTAGTATAATAGATTATAATTTTTCTTTTGTTGCTTTTTTTTATAAACTAGTGCTTATTAGTTACTGATTTCATTAATTACGCTTGTTTTACTGATATTCAAAGTATTTTTATTCAATAGATTGTTATAATCAGTAATGTTAAATATAATTTTGTCAGTTTTATTTGCAAATAATAATAATAATTGCATAAAATACTTTTAAATTTGTATTTTGAAACTAAGTGGTTTATTTTCCAATTTTTTATCAAATTTTTAATCAGGTTTTTATATTTAATGTATTTTATAGGAAAAAAAATGAGTCTCAGAAAATCATTGCGATCGAGCTCAAGTTTCATTAATCCCGATAGTGTTGCAATATATTATTGCCAAAATAAGTTAGATCCAGAGTTCTTAGTGAAAAAGTTTATAAATAGTGCTATTGGTAAGAGACTTTAATAAAACCTTTTGAGTTATTCAAGAAGATGAGTTTTTTTAAAACTATACACTCATTAGAGTAAAGAATGTATTGTTGTTAAAATTAAGTTTTACTAACAAATACAAAATTATTATTTCTATATTTTAACAAGTATGTAATGGATTCTAATGCAATTTTATAAAAAGATAAATAAACAAGTATTAAATAAAAACTATATCAAGAAACTTTTTAGAACTTTTAAAACTTCTAAACTTTAGATAAACTTTAGACTTTAAGAAGACATTTATTAGAAAATTTTTTTTAATTTTTAATTTTAAAGCATTTTTTAATTAAAAACAATATTTTCTTTTGTAATTTGTACAACTAACTGCTTATAATTTTTTGCAGTACAAGTACAAAGAGCTGCAAAAACAAGGAAATACACATCACAAATCATAAATACATCATACTACAAAGAAATGCACATCTTAAATTAGGAAAATACAATTAGAGGAAAGAATTTAAACAGCTTAAGTAATCTGGGAAAACAACAGTGTTTAAAAAATTTTTATGAGCTCATTTACTTTGTAAAGATATGATTTAACTAAATTAGAATATTTGACATATCAAGAGCTAGGATTTAATAGCTCACAGTGACAAACCCCAAGTTTATTTGGGGATACCCCTTTTTTTTCTGCAATGTCTGTAGAGGGGGGGGGGGGGAGAAAGGATTGTTTTAGAGATTCCCTCCTCTCCTACTCCCTTAATTAAAACAGGTCATTTTAATTTATGTTTATCTTGTTTAGTTTTATTTGAAGATTAAGAGTTGATTTAAAGCATTTCTTTAAATACATGAATTTACCAGTGGATGTAACTTGTTACCATGTTACTTTCGTTACAATAAGAAAACTATGTTACTTAAGAGTTTAAAAAATGTTTTTGTTACAATTACCACGCTATTTGTAAATAATTGCTGAAAAGTATTTTTAACATTAGTTAACTATATTTTAGTAAATTTAGTTTTAGTAGTTAATAATGATTTAAGTAATTATTAATTAAATGTTTAAATACTTTAAACAATTTTTAATCAATATTTAGATTGCATAATTTTTTCACATAAATTGAATCGCATAGTATTTAAAAAAATTAACAAAATAGTTTTACATCTTGTATTCGAATATAAAACATCCAGATTTAATAAACATATTTACTGTTATTTTAATTTTAAAATCTTGATTTAAATAATAGCAAATCTGTTCATTTAACTTTGACTAAAGGTTAATAATTTTTATAGTGATTTTAAGGCGCCTATTAAATTGAACATAATTATAAAAGAGATATTTACGGTAAACGTAGTTTTAAAAATGTTATATTTTTTTGATTAAAAACCATATTATGTTTAAAAAATATACTTAATAATATATATAAAATTATGTTTAATAAATAAGTTACATTTACTTAGGATTTATTTAAACATTAAAAACGTTGAATTTTAAAAATAAATAGATTTTAATAAAACTTTTGTTAAGTTATTGTAATCATTATTTTTATTATTATTTAAGTCAAAAAGAATATGGAAAAGAAACAAAACTTTCTGAAATAGTTTATGTTTCGTTTTTTCTTTTTCCTCAAGTAAACTAAAATAGCAAGCTAAAGATTAAAAGTTCATTCATTCCAAAATTAAATTTGTGTGATAGTTGTTAAAACAGAAATTTACTTTTGTTTATTCATTATCAAAAGCACTTCACTCTTAGGGCCTGATTATATGAGGAAATATGTCCTTCTTTGCTGAGATGAAAACTTCCAGTTTTTAAAAAACTCTAATCGATTAAATGTAAAAAAAGTCTCAATAAAATTTCCAGAAAGTCAAAAAAAAATGGCAGAAAAATTGTCTAGGCTTGGAGGTTTATAGGCTTATATGTTAAAAAAGATGTTAAAAATACAATGGTAGACTATAATTAATAGTCTACTAACAGTTTAACTAGTATTCTTATTTTGTTGATTAAAAGTAATTTTGTGGTAATTAAGTAAATTGGTGTAGTTCATAAAAGCTTCAGTCAATAAATATGAAAAGCAAATTTAATTTAATGACAATGGTAGACTATAGTTAATAGTCTGCTAACAGTTTAACTAGTGTTCTTATTAATTTAAAAAAATAATGAATTTTTATTTTGTTTTTATAAAACAAACATCTTTTTTGTTTTGTTTTATTAAAAAAAACTTTCTATTTGATCAAAAATTTACTAATTTGTATTTTTGAAACATTTTCTTAACGAAAAAGTAGTTGCTTCTTGAAAAGAATTATTTATACTATTGTTTTTATGCAGTTATAATTGAATTGTTATCAATATTGACAACTTTATAGAAAAAATTTGTCTTGCTTAGGCAAGATAAAGCAATTACATGATAAAAAATGTCCCGTTTAAACGAGTTTCCCTGTAAAAGTGGGACTCTTGGAAGGAAAAATAAAGTGGCTAAAATAAAGTGAAAGTTATTTATATACTATTGCATTTAAAACCCATTTTTTTTTTTTTTATAACTAATAAAAAGCAAAAGAAAAATTAAAAGAAAAAAAAATTTATGGGAGCTTTTTTTTGGGCGCCCATACCGCTCCAGCAGTACTAAAACAGGTCTGGGTTCGTCCCTGGCT